AAAAAATTTTTATCAGAAATAATTTCCCTTTCTAAGCTATACTTATTGAACACTTAAAGTTTGTATGTTTCGGGTGTTATTATAGAATTGAAAATTATTACATTCTAGCCCGAATCCCATCCAGTACAGCAGGGAATGGTGGTGGGCAGGGTTGGAACACCAGACCATTGAGAAAACCACACAACCTTTTTTTTTTTGGAAGCTGTCTAAAATTACAATACACTCTGTTTTTATATCAGCTGAGGGGATAATTACAACTGCCCTTCCAGGCACATGCAAAACTCTAGGCATTCCTAAGAGGATCCTTATTACCTATCAATGGGCAGTACAGGCTTACCAGATCATCAGAAAATTTCTCAGTGGACACTGTTAAAAGAAGACTAATACGGATTTCGTTTCCCTTTATGAAACTCAACCCTGGCAGTGCCAGAGATTGAAAATTAATTCACTTCCATAATAATAATCTTTATTATCTGCATGGAAATTTGTTTACAATTGTGCATTACAAAAAACAATACATTATTAGAGTAAACATTGTATACAGCAGCACACAATAAATATGTGATTAGGTTTTTATCAGAATTAAAACTTGGAATATTTGTGTTCAAATTAAAATAATGCACTGTGCCATACAGAGATAGGCATGCCAACTTGAGTAATTAATATTCCATCTAATCATCTTACAACTAATGTTATACATGGACTTTAACACCAATGAAAATGTGTCAAATGGGGCTGAAAAATGTAGTCCAGGTTTTGTTTGTATTCATTTTTAAGAATCCTAAGGCTGTTAAATGGTCAGGGTATTTTTACCTAGAAGGAATGAAATTAAAATACACACTACATTGGAATGTGCTGTTGATATGTTTTTATGTGGGTTTTTTTTTTTGTCACTCCAGGAAAAAGTCAGATTAAAGTATAAACTTTCCTACACCTACAACAATGAGCTGATATCAGATGTTGGAGACATTGATGGCATTCCTGTCCAGTAGTCATCTGATTACATGCTGGTACTGCAACTTGCATATTTTTAGTTTGTTTTTTTACTCTAGAAGTGTGCAAACCAATCAAAATTCCTGTCAACTGACAAGGGGCTTGAGTCTAAATCATTGAAGTATTTAGAACAAAAGAATGAATGAAAGCTTGACCTTTGGAAAGTTCATCCAATTGATTTGCACACTTCTTGTTTATATTGTATGCACCTATATACACAAAAAACGTATGACTGGGATGATAAAAATGGGAGAAATGTGTACATTGTATTATTAAGTTAAACTCCATTGTGATCCTTAGTTTGATATTACAATGATTATAGTTTTTAAAACAACTGGAGAATAGAAGAACGTCCATCACTTTTTTAAACTAAGTGGTATATATACTAAGATATTACTGCAGTCTTAAAGTCAAGCCTCCTGTAATTAGTTCACAGTCTTGTTGCTGAGTTTCAAATATAAAACTGTGCCATGTCCTATGGAATGATAGTAACGTTGTGAAACCTCATTTCTGAAACCTTCAATTTCTGTAACATCTTAGATCTAGGCTGAGATTTAGATTCATGTATTTCTTAATGTGTCATCTACTTTTTAAATGTTGAAATCAATTAGAGAATCAAATAACTAGGATAAAGTGTTGAAACAAGTTAGGTCATGGTTCAGAGAGATAAAAAAAGCAATGCAAATTTTATCCCATAGTTTCCTAGTAAATACTTTTTTTAAAAATTCAAGTAACAAACATTAAATTTAAAAAATCAAATAGATCTAAGTCAAGAAATTTGACTTTGTAAATCAATAAATTAGTTAAGATACTGGTATTTGACTTTGTAAATCTATAAATAAGTCAAGATATTTAACTTTGTAAATCAATAAATACGTCAAGATATTTTACTTAGTAAATCAATAAATAAGTCAAGATATTTAACTATGTAAATCAAAAAAGAAATGAAAAACAAGAGAAGCTTCTTTGTCCTATTCTTTTCCTTACAGCTAAATATCTTCAAATTTCTTTGTATCTATCAGTAGCTCGTCCTCCTATACGAGTCTTTTAAATCAGTCTCATTGGAAGGAAGTTTTCAGTATATTTTTATTCAGTGAATACATTAGTAATTGTAAAGTGAGACTTGTGATCAAAGCTGGTTAGAACTCGCGTCAAAACTCACTGTGAGTTAGAGCAGATTCTAATCTATTTTGTAGTTCTTGAACTTGACTCATTGGGATATTATTTTGGAGCTTACAAAGAAAATTTTTGATAGATCATAGAACTTTTTCAGAATAGCTGCTAGACCATTATTAATTCCATTTATGTTTAAGCTATAAATAAAAAACAGATTAGGAATATTTTTAAAAAATTGAAGAATCAATTATATGCAATTTTTCTATACCAAATGATAACAGCCAATAATTACCAGGCTTACTATAAAAGTAATTATATATTTATAAGACTTCAATACCATATTATTTACAAATAGTTGCTGACATGTCAAAGACAGAGATATGATCTAGTTAGATTGTGTTGACCAACTTCTGTCTTCTTATGATTTTTATCCTTGAAATAATTTTAGTTTGTCATCTTTCATTAAATATTTATGATGAAATATCATATTAGGCTTGACCTTGACTTATAGTTTGTGATATATATATGTATATTGTCTTGAAAGTTTTTTCTTGGGACCGGATTTACCGGTTTCTATTCTCTCTGCCAATTGAAATCTGACAGAAATTGTTCACATTGTTTATTTATTTGAATTTATTAATATGTGATGTTCTTGGTTACAATAACAGATTTTAAAAAAATTTTTTAGTCATCCAATGTGTTTTTTTTTGTTACTTTGTAATATTGATTTTGCCAACAATTGATACTAAAAATGCCATGAAATAAAATATACATGTGTGACTGAGAAGCATAAACTGCTTTGCTACTTATCAAGGAGGCTTGAGTTCAATGTCCCCTCCAAGCTGAGTTGTGTTTGCTGAGCCCCTAAAATAAAAACCTTCTCCCTACAACCACTAGCGGATCCAGAACTTTGGATTGGGCGGGGGGGGGGGGGGGGGCGATTTTTTTCCAAACCCTAAGCATAAACGTGCGTACAGCACACACACACACACATATATATATATATATGAGAATTTTAAAAAGCAGCATTTCTCAACCTTCGGCGAAAAACTGGGGCAGCGCTGTAAGGTTCCCTAGTGGGGTTTGGGGCACAGCCCCGAGGCCAAAAGCATTTTCTTGCATTCTTCATTGCAGAAACGCTTTCTCCTGACATTTACAGTTTATTATTCACCAATGGAGTACGGGGCGAAGCCACGACGCCAAAAGCATTTTCTTGCATTCTTCATTGCAGAAACGCATTCTCCTGACATCTACAGCTTATTATTCATCAATGGACTTCGGGGCGAAGCACTGACGCCAAAAGCGTTTTCTTGCATTTTTCACTTCAGAAATGCATTCTCCTGACAAGTACAGTTCATTATTCATCAGTGGGGTTTGGGCGAAGCCCCGGCACCAAAAACATTTTCTTGCATTCTTCACAGAAGAAATGCATTCTCCTGACCTAAAGCTCATTATTTATACTATTAAAAAAGAACGTTTTGAATAATGTTGTACTTGAAACATATTCTAATATGAATTTATAGGCCCTTAATACATTGCAAATAAAACCGATTTGTTCCTTGAAAATATAAGATACCCCACATATTTAGATTTTGGCTTTGAGGATCGCCACCGAAAAAAAATATTCGATAAATAATATTTAATAACATATAAGTTGTGAGTTATAGTCCCAAATGTATTTAACTAGAAAAATATCAGATTGAGTAAAAGTTTGGAAAAGGCGACTATAAAAAAGTTAATTCGGCTTAGAACTCATCTCAATCATGACTCTTATACTGAAAAATTTCGTTTGAATTCGAACTTTTGAAATGCAAAGTCTTTCTTAAAATAATTATGATAAATTCATGTGAAATTACTTAAACTCTGGAAATGGGAGGGGCGGTAGAGTGAAAACGATTAATCCTCGCTCCTTTAATAATTTCTGCTAAAGATTGCATTTGGCATTAAAGAATATGGGTAGGGGGACTCGATATAAGAATTTAATTTATAGTATATATAAATTATATTAGTGACAGATTTTTTAAATTTTGTACTTTCTTAAATATAATACTAAAAGAAAAAGTTTTGGTTCGTCCGATGGGGGAAATGCGATTACATGTATCGCCCCTCCCACCTGGTACAACCCTTTTTCATTTAAATTTACTAATGATAAAATTTGAGATTAGAGTGTGGTACGACATAATATACAGTGGGTTCACATATCAATACATAATTTATATTGTATAGATATTCAACTAATTTTGTTCACAAACTATGATTTCTCCATAAAAGTAGGACCCCCCCCCCCCCCCCCTGGATCCGCCAGTGCCTACAACAAAAGATCATAGTGCACTAAACATCATGCTATAGCATGGAAGAGACTCTAAATAAAAGCAGCTATTTCATTTATTCTGTCAACACTTCTCCCTTTTGTATCCCACACTATGCTCAACATGATGTAATGCTCTAGTATCTTGGATGGTGGCCTTGTTGTGCATGCTGGACTGTCATTTGATTGTCTCGATGGTCCAGAGTTCATACCCTGCCACTACCATTCCCTGTTGTCCTGCAGGAGGTTTGGACTAGGAAGTAGATATATCTTGAAAAGTATTTTCACAAACTTTGATGCCAGTCACAATGATTGCATTTAAAATGTGATTTCCTTTCAAGTCAATATTAAGTAAAGTTCCCCTTTCAGACCATGTGGTCTGTGGGGCAGATGATGTAAAGGTCATGTGTTTCTGTGGCCTATGGTTAACAATGGTGTCATGTGACCAGTATAAGGACCAACGGCCTTTACTTTTCCTCAACTAATGTCAGATACCTATTAGAGCTGGGTGGACACAGAAGCACCCAAAGATCCAGAAATTAAAAAATACCAGGATCCGGTTCGGAAGCCAAGCAGTTTACCACTCAGCGACCACGCCTCCAAGTCAATATATAACACTTCTACTTTTCACTTCAATGAATGAACTCATCCCAGGTACAAGAATACATTTTATTGAGGAGCGTACAACAATTCTGAAATGACGTTACATCTAGTAGCACTGACATAACATTTAGTAGCACACACACACACACAAAACATCTGAAGATTCAAATATTTCAATCAAGAAAAAAAAAAGGTGAAAGACTTTTCTAATTTATAACACTTAAAACAACACCAACTAAAGACTATTACATTTTAAGTTGAATTCAAACATGAAAGATACAATCTGGCTTAGTTTAGAACATCATGTGGAAAGTGGTGTTACATCACCAACAAGTGACAGGACTTGGTTTGTTTTTTTTAAAATATGATTCCATTAAAAAAAAACAATATACAACCTATGGTACTTCAACTCCACATGCTTTATCTTGCTGCTCATAAATGAAAAGTAGCCCCCGCCCCCCCCCCCCCCCCAAAACTAACTAAAAAGAGGGTAGATTACAATTTCAATAGAAAGGATTGTGGCACAGAACTATTAAAATATGGAAGGCATTTACCATCCTCCCACAAAGGCAGTACCCACAATTTTTTTTTTTACATTTTCAATCCAATTTTACTTACCGACAGAGGAGAAAAGTTCACATTTATTACTACCAAATAAAGGATCTGGTACAAACAAATGTCCACTTCACACTAGACACTTTGTTACATTTATCCTCTGCAGCCTTAAGCAAACATCTGAGTGTATCAAAATATCAATGCTGACTTATGGAACTAGTAACAATATATTGTACATAGTGTCTGAAATAATAGTATTTACTTGTGATAACCTAATATGACAGTGAAACATGGAGCTGAAGTTCCAGCAAAGAATTTGCCACTTTGGAATGAGGTCATACATCAATGTGACCTACATTCTTATTTAGTTGACCAAGTCATTTTCAAGAGCAAGAATGCATTCAGATATCCCAGGGTTACAAACAACTGGGAAAAAAAAAGAAAAGGTGATCCACTTTTACAGGCATTAGGAACACAATTTTGCTAACCATTAAGGTTACTGGAGCTAAGCAGAGAGAGAACTTTTAGAATGGCTACCCAAGGCAAAGTACAACCTAACAAGAATTACTTCTAAGATCATCTAAAAGCTAATGAGTCATTCATTTGATTTATATTTCTTTTTTTCTCATTCATTCCATTAAAAAAAAAAAAGTTAAATACCCTGGTACACTCCACACTAAATTGAAGCTCAGGGTTTTGTCTAACCTTATCTAGTATTCAACTTTCTAATTAATTTTTCATACTTTAGAATCAACTAACAAGAAACTGATCTGATACATCTTTTCAATCACAAACTAACAGTCCATCACAGCTTTACATTTGCCTTAAAAAATAACTATCACCTAGGAGTTTTTAGTTTCTTCACAAATATTTTTGCTTATTTTCCTTCACAAATTTTGTTGTTTGTTTAACAGTAGAACAACAATTATTATCAAATAATCATTATACAAAAGTCATTAAAAAATATATTTTAGCAAGAATTAACCAACACTACACATATACTGTCCAACAGTCCCAACACTGTATGGTAAACAATATTTAGTTCTAAGTATACAATGGCCAATAGTACTGTATGGTAAACAATATTTATTTTTAGGAAACATATACTCTGTGAACCCAGTCAACAATTGTGAAATAAACATCTTTCCAGCTAACACAATGAGTTAGCACCATAGCAGTTGAAACTTTTATCAAAATACTATACTAGTGTGTTGATTAAAAGGTTAGATTTAAATGCTTTGAGTGTCTTGTTTAACGAGAAAGAAATATGCCAAGTTTTGCAAGGACACAATAAGTTAAACAGATTTTATGTACAATAACAAAATGAATTTCACTTCTCTTCTTCCTCATGTTCAGATTCATTTTTGACCCCCACAGAATGGTCCTCCCCCTGACCACTTTCACTGTCCTCTCTCAATACGCTCAAGTCATCTGCTATGTCCAGCTCAACCTTTATGTTGACATTACTGAGATGACAGCTCTCGTCTGTGGAATTTAAACTGTCCGTTCCAGTATCTGTGGAGTTGATACTGTCCGTTCCATTGTCTGTTGAATTTAAATCGGAATCTATGTCTATTTCTAGGGAAGGGTCTGCCAATATGTTTTCCACACCCACTATACACTGTTTGACAGGACTGACTTTCACAGAATTACCATCTGATTTGGTAGGCGATGGTTCGTCTAGTCCTTCCACTGACTGAATTAATTGAAGCTGAGAGAATCCTCCTTCTGTGCTGTTGGCAAATAATTCACTTCCATGAAATACAAGATGGCCATTTGGACCCATGACTACCTCACCATTCTGAGTCAGCATAAGAGTACAATCAGGAGAAATGATCACTTCCTCTGTCCCTCCATCTTCTGTAAGCACTACCTCCTGAGTTGTTACAACTTCCTCTTCCGTAACTTCTTGATTGTGGCCGACCACTAAATCTTCTGTGAATACAATTTCATCCTGTGCAAAACAAAAACAAAAAAGTGATTACTCTAACGTCAAATAAATTATGATTTGAATGACTAAGAACACATTTTGTTTTTACTTTGAAATCAATGCCCGAGTTCTAAAAAGTTGGTAATTGTTTTCCTGTTAAAAACAACCTTATAATCAGGCCTTCTTACATGACTCAAACACTTGATTTTAGATCCATTAGAAATTCTTCCACTATCTTTCAATTCATATTGCCTTATTCAAGGTTTATCGACCCCTTCACTTAGTACATTTTTTCTTTCTATATATATATATTTAAAAAAACAAAAACTAAATTAACTACAAATGATTAAAACCAATTGATTTTTTTATTATTGATTTATGTTCTGTCATTGATCATGAGCTTGTATGCAAAATTGGATCAATCGAGTACAAAATCTTAATACCCAAGAAAGATAGAAAGTTAGTTAAGCATTGTAAAGATGTGTACAATACCTCTGTGCTATCCTCTTGTTTCAATGAAACTCTTTTGTAGGCATCTACATCACAGGTTTCCATTTCATCTTCACTCTCATCTGATGAGATGTCAGGGTACACACCAGCTTTCTTAAAGGAATGCATCAGCATGGCCCTGTTGACCACTTTAGAGTAAGCTTGGCAAGCTATCTCACCTATACTGTTTCTACTGTAGCAAGGGCCCGCAGCTGACTTCAGATACCTGCGCCGGGCACTCTCATACTTATGTTTGAGCGCTTCAGAGCAATCCACCTCCAGCGGCTGCAATAGGTGAGTTGTATGTGCTGGGATAAAGGAAAATATTACATTGTTCTGTCTTCCCCACTCACTCATGCCAACAAACACGTGGCTCCTAGAGCCATCCATTAACACCAATATGGGCTCGTTCTCCTCACGCTCAACATGAGCTAGAAAATGTTCATTAAGATAGCGCCTAAAGATCTGAGGAGAGCATTTCCCTGTATCTGAAACCGACGCATTCACATTGGCAGGCATGCCTTTCATCATTTCAGGACGCAGTCTGTTCGACTGGAACACAAAGAAGGGAGGGATGACCTTCCCAGAAACACTACCGCACGCAATCAAGGTTGTATTGGTATAATTGTCTGTTTTGAACTGGTGTCCAGCTTTACCAGAAACAATCCCATGATCAGTATTGAGGGTGATTTCCATGATATTAAAAATACTGTCATTCTTTTCCAAAAGTTTGTATCTGTCTATGATTTTTTTGATCTCGTCAAAGTATGTCCGCACTGTATGCTCAGCATCAGATTTGTTCCTTAGTTTACAACTCAGTTCACGAATAGTTGGCCAACGGTTGATGAAACTGTCAACCCATTTTGTAGTAAGTCCATTAGAACGTGGATCTCTTTTACCCTTTTCTACTGCTAAATCGGTAGCTATTTCAGCCAGTTCAAGACGTGTATAACGATACCCATAACGAGCCATAGTAAAGAGAAAATGTGCAATGTGTGCCTCCTCTTCATCTGTCATGAGTAGCGGTGGGCCAGGCCTTGTTGTATCGATGCTAATTCTACCGTCTACTCTATCTCTGAGAGTGGTAAGAGGAACACCAAATAGTTTAGCAGCTGCATTCACAGATATGCTGCTGTCCTTGACAGCTTTGTAAGCAGCCTGCAAGGCTTCTCTGCTGTACAATCTCCTCTTTTTGATTGGTTGTTTCTGTGGGTTTGGAGAATCAGATTTTATCCCAGGAGCAGGTAATACAACAGACAATTTTTTTTCTGGAGATTTCCTTGACCGTGGTGACTTTTTGGACTTCTGAAAAAAAAAAAAAAAGTCATTTTAAATTACTGAAACTAAATCTATCACATATTCCTCGACTTGACTAGGCAGTACAACAAAAGTTTCAAAATAAAAATACACTGAAAGAACTTAAATTGTTAAAAAAAATCTAGATATAAGATTTCCAAGGTGATAATGGAGTGCTCATTGGGTTGCAGTGCCAGACCAGCTATTACTTACTAACCCTTGCTGGTAGATCACTTGGCTATCAGATCATACCTATCAGACTATCTTGAATAATCTTAGTAAATCTAGATCTAAATTAATCTAGATTCTAGTCTAATCTCTACGCTAGATTATATTTATCATTATATAGATCTAGAATCTCTTGACCTATTTCACAGCTTGATTCAACTTCCGTTAGTGAGCTAGAAATGACTTGGGTGACAAAAATCAAGACTTTTCCCCTCTCAAATAAAAATTAATATCTCCCCTACCACTTGTCATACAAAGATAATTTAGTATGGTTGGAAATATTTTTTCAAGCCCTTTGCTTTTTCAACAATATAGTCATATAGTAGGGATGTTACAATATCTGGTGACACGCCCCTTTTATTAAGTCAAAAAAACTGTTTCGACTTTTTTCTGACATTTTTTTTACATACCTTAAAGGTGCATTTTTTTAACCTATTAATTGAATACTTCTCCATAAAAGAGTTATAGTTTTTGATTGACCAATAAAAATGGCTTCCGGGAATGAAATTACACTTTCCCACGTGGAGTAGAAGGTTACTTTTTATTAGACTTAAATAAAGGTTCAATTTCCCTTGTGTATAGTTTAAAAAGCTCAACATTCCCACGCCTTTTGACTCTCCAGTATTGTAGAGCATTTTTCTGGCTAAATTTCAGTGCTTTACTTTTCACATAATACTGTGCACTTTGGATGCTATTAATTTTTAATATTTAGCAGTTGAATCTAATGCTGGAGGCCATTGTTAACCATTGTAATTTTAGCCATCTTGTTTACATGCCAAGATAATAGTGATTGGTCATGCAACATCAAATAATTTTCTGATAGGTTGAATTATTATAGCAGTTAAAAAAAAACTTTGAAATGATGTCAAAATGGTTGACATTGATTTATTTCTGCACTTACGCATTTTGAAATAGATGTACATTTAGATCTAATGAGTATATAATATGCAGCTTAGTGTTCAAATATTTTAATA